TTAACAAACTGACCGGCTTGATAAATATTCCCAGTGAAATGTTTTTCAATACCCTCAAAAAAAGGTTTAGTTTGAAAAGGAAGGATAAATCGAAAATCAGCAGTAGTGACCCAGATGTGAGTACAACAATTACGAAAATTATATTTTCTTTATCATATTTTGAAGTACTTCATATGAAGCCTTCATACCTAACCTACATTGTTACTAATTGGGTTCATTGCTCAATGGAAGCGAATGCTACACAGGCACATTGTTTATTCGTGCTTTCTTCACTCTAAACAAACAAATTCTTCATCGATGTAGAATTGCTTTGATTATTTATGTTACAATGTCCGTGCTCTGGTAAACACTTACCGGATGGCGATGCCTGCGCCCGATCAACGATCAGTGAGCAATTGGGACTTGTCTTGGACAGCTTCGTAAAATTGGAATACGTATTTTCACGTGTGGTGTTTTCAATATTTACGTCATTACTGTTAATAAGAAACGCATTATGTTTCCTTTTTGCAGAAGTGTAACTTGACTTAGTGTCACCGGAAGAATAAGTTTCATAAGAATAAGATTCTCGGCTGATTGATTTTTCATGAAGTGTGGATTTCTTAACTTTATGTTACTATATGAAATGCAGAAATGCAGTCTGTGCTTAATGCGTCGAATTTCAATGCTGCAACTCTTTCATGATTGCAGTTGTGAAATGACAGAGATTTCCTTAAATTCGCCCACTTGGTTAGCCGTACAGAAGGATATGGTTTGCCTCTTTATTTGTTATTATTTACTGATTAATGGATTTTTTGCGTTCTTAAGTAGATTTTGATTGAAAGTTGGTTATTTGATTGTAGTTGGATTTCAAACTTTCAATAAGGCATTATAGAAATGGCGCGTGCAGTTTGCCATTGTTGGAACATCTCTCGATGGTATTAATAGATTCCGTCGTCGTCACAAGCGCTTAGGTCATTACACCTTGCAAAACTGCTCAAGTCGAAGTAAGTCCATATGTGGACTTGCGTGCTTGGAAAGAACAAATTATTTATATTATCCATCGAATGCGTTCAACGTACCTCTTGTATATTGGAGTTAATCGTTTTATTTAGTTGACACTTGAATGTACCTCTATAGAGGAAATCTTGTCAAGAAAATATTTATTAGCGGCAAATAAGCTATGAACTATAGTGTTTGAAATACATTTTAATGCTCACTTTTCTTGATGGGACTCTCATCTCATTTGAAACTTTAAAATGATATCATAAATTCGTGAGAATGAGTCATACGGCGACATATAGAAGTTGCTTTCTTGTTAATGTTATGTGTTTTAGATAAAAAATAAGATACATGTTATTAGTATGATATATGGTAGTTTCTGATGTTTAATGACTTGCATGCTGTGCTAAGTTTACTTTGGAATTATTATTATTCTTGACATGTAAATTATACCAGTTCACGTGATTTACTTTACTGTTAGACATTCCGGAAGCTTTTAAACACTTTTTGTTAATTTAAATTACGTTTTTTACTTCCAAATTTTGCGATGCGATAATAACTTTTATAAAGTCCTATTTATGCAACTCACGTTATTTAAGTCTTGTAACATGAAATCTATTATTTTAAGTCTGAAAGGTGCTATTTATCTAGTAATCATTTCCTCATTGAACATAAGAATTGTACTTGCATGTCAGCGTCGTACATTATTGTGTGTAGAGATAGAATACGGTTAGATACAGTTGCCTTGTTATCGATGACTCACGGTGCGAGCCGGCTAGCTAGCTAGACCAACTTGCTGAGGTACCCGCCGCCGCCAGTCGTTATTGGCATTACCGCTCTCTTACGTCGACAGCGACTTAAATGTGAGATGTGATGTGACTATTAGATACAAGATTCACTATTGCTGCGACTTTAGTCGCTTTATATAATTAGATTCATTTGAAAAAAAAAAAGAATAGTGCAAATCGTCCCACCCAACGAGGGTTCCATACAAACTTGTAGGCACGCAACATAATCCCGTATCTTTTTTCCCGTTAGCTTAGAAGTTTGATTTTTCATAGCTTCAAGGGAGCGTAGACCTGAGGGTATGGTTTAAATTTCAACTTCACATCTCCACGCATTCACGCAAAGTTGGACAGATAGACGGACAAAGAAGTGATGCAATAAGGGTTCTGTTTTCTTCTTTTAAGGTACCTACCTTAAAAACACACCATAATTTAAGAAGTTTTTTTTAAACATTACCCCTCATTACTAAACAAAGATTAAGCTTGGATTGGACAAATGGAATTTGAGTGACATGAACAAAACACGGCGTGACTAATCTATGCTTATTATTAATCCCTGTTTATTAATTGGGGGGAATAAGTGTAACTATATAATATTTGTGATCACTATTGTCACTTAAATTATTATATTACCGTTAACTAATTTAATACTAATAATGTATCCAATTTTTTTTTAATTTACACAAATAATATCGCTAAAATAGGACTCAAAGGGCATATAACCTTGTATGCAGACGACACCTGCCTGTTTTATTTCGGAGATCTATACATGACATTATACACACCGCGCAGCAAGATCTCGACATACTAAGTGAATGGTTAAAATTATTAATTACTAAGTAAATTAATTACTAACTATCAATACGTCTAAAACATCCTTCACGATCTTTTGTTCTAAAAATAAACATTTACCGAATTTTACGCCACTAACTATAAATAGCGAATTAATACAACGATCTTATCGTGAAAAGTATCTTGGACTGTGGATAGATGACAAACTTACCTGGAAATGGCATATTGATCATCTTAAAATGAAATTAACTTCATTATTAGGAGCATTACGTAAGATAGCTAGTTGTATACCAAGTAAAGTTCGTAATATAATCTACAATTCTCTAGTCAAATCACATTTGGAATATTTAATAGAAGTATGGGGGTCAGCCGCTGCAACTTACTTAAATCCACTACAAAGACTACAAAATAAAATTGTTAAGGTGCTGTTTCGTTACCACTATTTAACGCTAACAAAAGAATTATACAAAAAGACTAATTTATTTAATCTTAAACAAATATATACATAATGCGCATGCGTCCTAATAAAAAATATAACTACAAATTCCATCCAAACCAATATCACATTACATAAAAAGATTTACAAGCATAATCTTAGAAACAAAAGTAAACTTCAACTTTGTAAAGCACGAACTAATTACGGACAAAAAACGATATTATTTGAGGGAGTACAGATGTACAATAGGTTGCCAAAGCAAAAAAATGTTTAAAAGTAAATTAAAAGAATACGTATTGTCACTGTAAGGAAACTTTTATATTTCACTTCCGCCTAAGGAATAATCGAGTCGATTTGGTTATTTATTTTTTAATAATATTATATATGATTGTTTTGTTATTTACATAAGAATAATATTGTGAATGCTCATAAGATCAAATAACTTACTATTGTTAACACTGGGCTTTGAACAATTAAGTCATAAAACAAGAAAGACTACGTTTTAAGGGTGTTGAACTTAAGTGTTAGTATCAATTTTGTAACTGAAATATCCGATGTTCCAAGAGGAGCAATAAGTAATACACAACTGCATGTTATTTCTATATTCTCATTTTAAGTGTACTGTATGTCTTTATGGGAAATAAATTATCTTTGAACCTAATACAACGTTTTTCAAAACATTTGCGAGAAACTATAGTATAACTTATTTAAGTAATGAAGCAAACTGTTTTCCATTAAGAAACTGAAATATCTAACTGCATTTTCATATGGCGCCACGTGTGGGGGTGGTGAAAATTAGAACTATATCTTTTGTCTCTTTTTCTTTAAAGTATTAAAGTGGATAAAGATTTAGATTAAAAGGGCTTTCAAGGAGGTTAGATCGAATAAAAATATCGTAATGTATACGCACGGCGCCATGTATGGGAACCTTAGAATGGTCTAAGATGGGAACGCTCCGTTCTAGGACCGTAATTTTGAACTGTCGAACAATGCATACAAAAATGCTGTTTTATTAGTTTTTTTTTATTTTGTTTTCGTTAAAATACAGTCATGAGCAAAGATTGTGCAAAATGTCTAATGAAATCGAGAAGTTTCTATAAATGTGAAACCAAGCAGGTAGCTGAAATATAATTGACCCGAATTCATTGCTCGCGTGTGTATTTACTAGGCTTTTTTTATTTTTTTGTCACTTGTCGGCCCTATCCTAGCCTAGGGCCGACAAGTGTCTCCACCCCACCCGATGTTAAGTGACGGCTGCAACGATATTAAATACCCTAGATACACGTGCGCTCAAAATGTGTCCCAATCAAGAAGTGCTTGAACACTTCTCAAGCACTTCTTGGTTCACTGTTACGCGCGGACCGTTGAAAAGTCAAGATGCCACTGAGCTCCGTGAAAAAATGCGAAAATATTATTTATAGTACGTAAAGTGTCCTTTTTCGAGAGCTACCTAATTAATGATTGTTAATTTAACGCATTAAAAGCAAATTTTGTTCTAATATTTACTAAAAACTGATTTAATAGAAAATATTTGTGATATTCAAATGCATGGTCGGTAATATAGCCGTCTCTTTTCCTCGCTGTCGTACCGGCTGTATTGGTAACATTGCATTCAGAATTGCGCGTGGAGTCAAAGAAATAAGGTCTAAATTCTTCCGCATATAGCAGTAAGTCGTAAAATTTTAAGAGCTTGCATTTCGAAATGTCTTAACTCTTTGATGCTTGCGTTTTAACTAAGACCTTATACAGTATGTATTACAGGTGACGTTCAATGTTCAAAAAATGCCTTATATTTATTTTGACTACGCGATCATCTTACGGAGCTCCGTGGATCGTCCAATGTACCGTTTGGACAGGTTTCGGCCACGATTTTGTTCGTGTTAGTGTATCTAGGGTATTTAATATCGTTGGACGGCTGTTTTAGTTTTCTTTGAAAGGAGAACACTAAAAGCTAATCATCTAATGTTCGTATACCTTCGAATAACCATTGCTTTCTTATTTCTTTTCAGTTACAAAGTAAACGCGAGCTGTTCTTCAAATCGGACTCAGTGAGTGGCAGCGTTAGTACGACGGGGCCGCCGATGGGTGCGCCTCCAGCGCCCCCGGTGGCGCCATCTGCTCTTAAAGATGCGCTGTCGAAACGTTCAGCGACACTACCAGACCCGCATGAGAACAATCACCACGAGACCAACGGAACGGCCAAACTAAGCAATAGCGTGTCGGTGGACGCCCCAAAACCGCCTTTGTCGGCGCCGCCGCCGACTCCTGCGCCACCTGTGCCTACATCAGCCCCGCCCTCGGCTCCTGCTCCCCTAAGGAGTACAGAAAATATCATGAAGGTACCTCATTATTTATAGATACCCCATTATAAGAATATGTTTTATGTTACAGTCTAAACTCATAAACGGTTAAAATCACCTTTGACTGGAAAAATAAGTTAAAAGTAGTTTAAACAAGAACCTTGGTCAAAACCACTTTTGCCGGTTTTTTTTATAAAACCTATACCTCCCCCCCCCTGGATGGTGATCTGTCAAATTTTAGTTTTTTATCTCTGTTGTGGCCCCTGGGACACAGCCCTGCGATGCCTTAAATCCAGCCCTGTCCGAAGTGATCGGAACTACAACACCACTGAGCAGTATTCGGTTCATTCTTTAAGGGACAAACATTATGCACTAGCTGCCGCCCGCGACTTCGTACGCGTGGATTTAGTTATTTGCACATACTTTCTGACCCCTGTTCACTGCTCATTCCCCGTAGGTGATAGCGTGATAATATGTAGCCTATATGTTGACCCGACTTCTCAATATTATTCGTGCCAAATTTCAAGTAAATCCAAGAAGTACTTTTTGAGTTTATCCCTGACATACATACAGACAAACAGACAAAAATTCTAAAAACTATATTTTTGGTTTCGGTATCGATCGTAGATCACACCTTAAGTATTCTTTAAAAAAAATATCTGTCTATCTATAAATATCTATCAATGTACAGTTTTGACTTTCCTACCATTTTATAATATGTATTGATTAAAATTACAATTAAACTTTAATTATTAAATTATCAAAGAACACGCCTTACAAATTTATATTGCATTGAAAAAGATTTTAGAGTAGTCAATTTCTAAGAGTAAAAATAAATATTTTGGAGCACTTGTGATATCTTTGTTGGCTTTGCTGAAATAGACGGTTCAGCAAAGTCACTAGGGTCTTCCTGCATCCTGAAAGTTTATAATAGATCTTGTAATTTAACATTTTTGAGATTACTTATAGTAGAAGTAAATTATGTTATTTCAAAACAGTAAATGTGTTATTCATTGAGGAAAGCACTGAGATGGAAAGCCAGACAATCCTACCAGAAATGATAATAGGAGCGTTGGCACAATCGTTTATTATTAAGCCGGAAGCTGTCAGCAATCTGCAAGATGTAGCACAATAGATTTTTAAAGGTTTTGTAAAATTGCCCACGTGCTACTTGATCTCGTGAATGGCACATGCCATATAAATACTTAATGAATTTAATATAAATGCGGTGACGTTACATGACTCTTGACTGAGCGTACGTTAAATAACCTAGGTATAACTGAAGTTTTATAACTTTGTCGTATTCAATGTTATTGTATACGATGAAATAAATATTGTTTTTGACGTGACAACGTCTTAAATTAGGTTGCGGCTGGGAGTCACTTATGAAAAAGTGTAACGCTCGGTAACGTTACGATGAGTCTCTCGTGTTAAGTTTAAGTTTACATGTACAATGTTTTAGTAAACAAAATATATTTCTATAGTTAAAATTTGTGCAATTCTTATTTTCATTCAATTCCTTGTTCCTATTGTGCAATTTAATTATATTCATATCAATAAATATTCTACCGAGAAAAAGACGTTGTCACGTAAAATCTTCGCCCGTAAAACCGACTTTACAGGCAACCATTTTTTATTTATTTTTCCATTTCCACCGCTAACAAACATATCGATTAATTTACGGGTTGAGTCATGAGCTGCGTGACGTCTCTATAGTAATACACGTACCGATGTGAGAGCGGTATCGCTTATATGATTTAGCACATGCGAGAAAGAGATAAATGTAAAATGACAGTATCGATTTCACAATAAAATAAACAAAAATTAATATAACATTATTAATCTTTTTGTAAGGCAATTAAACTTACCCGTGAAACGTAATACCATCTTTTTAAGACTGAATGTTTTACTCCACTGCCACACAATTTTATTGCGCAGTACGGCATTTTATAAAGTTTATAACACGAGCACGAGAGAAACACTCCCACCAACGCTCGATGTGTCGCGACGTTTGGGTGCGTGCCTCACGCATATGTCAAATTTTACTTATGCTTGGTGCAAGCACTTGTCCTTGTATACGGAGTCTAGTGGGGGTACTTCATGATATTTTGCAATCACCAGACTTACATAAGTATTTCAGCTAAATCGGATAACAAGAAGTGGTCGAACAATGGTTTTAAAATTTTGTTGCTACATACATACAAATTACGAACAGTGCAAGTTAAATAAAAACTTGTAAAATTGACAGAGTTTTAATAACTTTACGTAGTCATTACGTTGGCACTGTTAAAATTTCCATACAAAAAACTTCTTTACATGTGACGCTTATCGATATCGAATTTAACTATTCAAATTCGATAGTGGTTCGTGCTAAGGGTAGGTACTGTTCTTGTGTGCATCGAAGCATTATTGTTTATTCATTAATGAAAGGAAACTAGATTTCTATTTACCGCAATTTTATTTACATTGCGGTCGGTCAAATGGTTAACATTATTTATTTTCAATGACAATTGAGTAATTTCATTTAAATCCTTAGTTAAGATTATTTTAGCTAATAGTAAAGTAATAGTTAGGAGGTAGTCGGTGCAAGTACAATAACAAAGAAAACTATCCCATAACATTTGAACTTTGAACAATGATAGGTTGGTGTTTATGTTCGATTAACAATCACTATCTCAAACAATGTTCATCGAATTTATAGTTATCGTCATTTCACTTATGAGGGTTGATCGAACACCGGCTGATATCTCGCTGTATTAATATATTTTTTTTGTTATGTTTTTCTAGAAAACGGATCATCCACCAGTCGCACCAAAACCAGAATTACCTAAGATAGAAAAGCCAAAAACCAAAGAATTAGATGGATACGTCGGATTTGCAAACTTACCGAATCAAGTGTACAGGAAGGCAGTAAAAAAGGGATTCGAGTTTACTTTAATGGTTGTAGGTGAGTAAAAGCATTATTAGGTTTTTTAATGTCGCATTTTATATACATAATTTATATCATCCCATAAGGGTATTGGCCTATTTTCAACAAGTTATGATATTTATAATTTTTATTATTTTTAAAGCATGTAACTGCTTGATGTTTAAATCTAAAGAAAATATAACTAGAAAAAAATCCCGTCTGCTGCCTGGTCCGCGTGGAATTTTTTCTAGTTATATTAAGTTATGATATTATTTATATTATATTACTGCTTATGTTATATTTATGCTGCACAATTCCAACGCGCGCAAAGAAATTTGGTTACTCATTTCTTTGTTGCACTATCCGTAAATGGAATGCTCTGCCTGCTCACGTGTTCCCTCCTCCTTACAACCTGGGATCCTTTAAAAAAGGCGTGAAGAAGCAACATGCAGGCCGGCAAGGTGAGGATGGCTGGCGTGGCAGGTAGAAGAACTGCTGTACCAGCTATGTTCACGTCTGGACTTCACCGTCACTTAACATCAGGTGGGGTGGAGTCATTTGTCGGACCTATCAATAAAAAAATGGTGTTTCTTATAATCTCGTATCATAATCTTGTATCTACTTATTTTAAGATCAGAATGTGGTAATTTAATCTAAGAATAGCCATCAATAGCGCGTGTCCCTAAGATCAACTAAAAAAAAAACTAGTTATTTGTTTACATATATTTCCCATTTCCCAGCAAAAGCAAAATATGAATTCAACAGTGTCTAAACAATTTGTAGTGATTCTCATTTTCTTAAATTACAGGTGAAACAGGCTTGGGAAAATCGACGCTAATAAATTCCTTGTTCCTGACGGAGGTTTACGACAAAGACAAGTACCCGGGCCCATCGCTACGAGTAAAGAAGACGGTCGGCGTGGAGACGAGCGTGGTGCTGCTCAAAGAGAATGGTGTCAATCTCACCCTCACAATAGTGGACACTCCAGGATTCGGAGATGCCGTCGACAATAGTAATTGGTGAGCATTTTATCTATCATCATTAGCTTATTAATGTTCCCACTGCTAGAACACAGGCATTCCCTATGGATGGAATAGGGAGATTGCACGCGGGCTCAGTGCGGGTATGGTGGGTGCCAACGACTGCAGATGCAGCCGGGACCAACGGCTTAACGTGCCTTCCAAAGCACTGAGGAGACGGGTTAGTAAATTTTTAGTCACTCATCCCAGGACCGGTCTGATATGGTGGGTGCCAACGACTGCAGATGCAGCCGGGACAAACGGCTTAACGTACCTACCGAAGCACTGAGGAGACGGGTTAGTAAATTTTTTGTCACCCATCCAACGAACGATCACTGCGAAAGAAGTTTCTTGACTTCCACAATCGCAGGCCGAACGCGCCAACCAATTGCGTAATCGAGCTGTTCAGCAGCATAATATTTGACATGTTTAATAACTTCAGGAACTTTTCGCAGCCGAACTAGCTTACCTTTTGCGCCATCGAGCTCCTCATTTTTGATCTATACTAATATTATAAAGTGGAAAGATTTTATTTGTTTGTAACGAATAAACTCAAAAACTACTAGAACGATTTCAAAAATTATAGTCATTAGCGGTATTGCTACCATGAACCTTGTTTTTGTTAGTTTCCGATATTTCGGCACTATTTGCAAGCGCCATGATCACAGAGTAACTTGTTATTTTGCAACAAAAAACAAGGTATGTGGTAGCAATCCCGCTTATAACTAAAATGTTAGTGACCAAACACAACAGTTTAACACAATATATCGATTACAAAAATTATTTTATCATTATAAAGCTTAATTATTCGGCTATTTTACCGCGATAAAAAAAAACCGCCCATTTAAATTTAGGGTGGATTGCAAGTGCGTTAATACAAGAGTAATAAGTCTTTTGGTAGTGGTAGGTGCAGCTTATCATTATGCTGAAATTGAAACAATTATATAATGGTATCATAAGATACGAAAATAAATGTGGAAATAGTCCTTTTCAATTGTAATTGTCGTAGCATCACTTACCTATATTCAGCGATATTAGCTAATCGAATAAGATAATATTAGCTATAGATAGCGTTGGTATGTAAATAGCTTCAACAAATTGTAACAACGCAAAGCGTTACCTATATTTCTCAGCGACTCATGCAAATATTGATTATTATTAAAGGAATCTAAAAGTAAAACAATGACGGTCTTACTACAAAAAATTAGACACTGTTTCAAACCTTGTTTAAGCAAATTTTGTATGTAATTTTTTTCTTAAACTCGTGTCGAACGCTTGTCTAACTTTTTTTTGGCAATAAGGTGATTCTTTGATTTCCTTCACAGTTGGCAACCAATAATAGACTTCGTCGAATCGAAGTACGAAGAGTTCCTCAACGCCGAGTCCCGGGTGACACGTAAAGCGGCGCCCCCGGACACGCGCGTCCATTGCTGCTTATACTTCATCGCGCCCAGCGGCCACGGGCTCAAACCGCTCGATGTGGAATTCATGCAGCGGCTCGGCGATAAAGTCAACATCATTCCTGTTATAGCGAAGGCGGACACTATGACGCCCGAAGAGTGCAAGGACTTCAAAGAACAGGTTAGTTGGTAATGTTGTGGCGGTGACATTTACACGCTCCATATTTAACCAATATGGAGGAAGTATTCAATCACCTCGTCAAGAGATGGCGCTACTGACGGCGCTCCTTAGAGTATGGAAGGTCTACATCGCGAAAGAGAAATTCGTAGGCTAACACTTCATATATACAATGCCCGACTAACATCAGTCGGGCCGCGGTCCCTGAGCTGATATCACCCATCTCGGTGGAAGATCTTCTCATTTGATCTCTCTACACCGGTGATCCCGACGTGATCTTGAACTTGCTTTACTTCATTGCGCCTAGTGGCCACTGGCTCAAACCGCTCGATGTGGAGTTCATGCAGCGACTTGTCGATAAAGTCAATATCATCCCCCTTGTAGCGAAGGCGGACACTATGACGCCCGAAGAGTGCAAGGACTTCAAAGAACAGGTCAGTTGATAATAGTGTTGGGTAGGACACGACTTGAAAAAGAGTTTGTAAGAGTAGCCTCTTTTTTGTACTGAGCCAGTACAATGTCCCACTTCAAATGAGGCGAGGCGTACTGAAGCTCGGAAATACATTTGAAGTGACGAGTACAAATATGACATTGAGGCGTACAGAAGCTCGACATTACGTTTGTGTGCACGAGTAGCACCTGGAGCGTAAGTTCTGAACGCAACCCTGGGCTGCGTTCAATACCTACGCTTTGAGTGCAACTTTTACCCTGACGTTTAAATTTTGACATAAAATGTATGAAGCTAATGTCAACATAGATATTTGTTGCACCTAGAGCGTAGGTTTTGAACGCAACCCAGTGCGAGTGACAAGGATTAGGAAGGAGAGATAGAGATACAGATGGATAGTGCGTAGAGGACTTAAATGAAATGTCATGCCTCGCTCTCTCTCAGACTTACGAAGAGTGAGTGAGTAACGAGACGCGACTATAGCGACATTTAATGTGAAGTAGTACATTTTAAAATTTTGAGCCGCTCTTACATTTTGACGTCATGTCCGGGACAAATGTACCGCCTCTTGTAAGTCCTACTCAACACTAGTTGATAATATTGTGGCAGTGACATTTACACGCCCCATTTTTAATTAATATGGAGGAAGTATTCACTTACCTCGCGGCGCCCTCAATAGTGTGGAAGGCCTACATCGCGCTAGATAAATTCGAAGGCTTACACTTCGTAACATACAATTCCCGACCAACATCAATCGGGCCGCGTTCCCCGAACTGATATCACCCACCTTGTTTGAAGATTTTCCCCTTTGGCCTGCTTACACTGGTGACCCTCACGTGATCTAACACTTGCTGTACATCATCGCGCCTAGTGGCCACGGACTCACTGCTTCATGTAGAATTCTGCTGAGAGTCAAAGAGTATGATGCCCGAAGAGTGCAAGGATTTCAAAGAACAGGTTTGTTGTATTTGTGTTCTTCATCGCGCCCCGCGGCTACGAGTTTAAATTTCTCGATGTAGATAGAATTCATACAGCGCAATAAGGCCTTAGCAATAAGGTCAACATCATTCCCGTCATCGTCAAAGTGGACACTATGACGCCCGAAGAGTGCAAGGATTTCAAGGAAAAGATCAGTAGTATTGTCTACTTCCGAGCGGCCACGGGCTGAACCCGTTAGATTTAGAATTGATGCAGCGGCACGGAGATAAATTTAAGGTTATCCCCGTCATCGTCAAAACGTCACTATGACGCCCGAAAAGTACAAGGATAAATTTTAGGTATTTTTATCTAGTTCATGTAAAGAAGCCGTTCCAAGTTCCAGAAGTGGAAAATGACGACACTCAAATATTCTGTTCATGACAGAATATGCGAATTTTTGTTATTGTCCTGTGTCATAATATCACTGAGCAGGTTATGAGGTATGATAGAAACATTTAAGAGCACTTAGCCAGTGGATGATTCATGCTGGTTACAAAATTTTCCTAAATATAAAGGAAAATATTATATCTGGTCTTAACTTTAGTCTACCCCCGTTTATAGTTGCCAATTCTATTTTACTATCTATCATGTAGGCAATAATTTTGTCTTTGTGTTGACCTTCTTTTTGAGACATCTTCTGTTGTTCCATAGATAATGAAAGAGATCGGCCAGCACAAGATCAAGATCTACGAGTTTCCAGAGAGCACGGGCGAGGAAGGCGACGGTGCGGAAACGACGCGAGCATTACGACACCGCGTTCCTTTTGCCGTGGTCGGGGCAAATACCGTGATCGAGCAAGACGGGAAGAAAGTGCGCGGACGGAAGTATCCTTGGGGCATTGCTGAGGGTGAGTACCAGGTTATAAAGATCTACAAGTTCCCAGAGAGCACGGGCGAGAAAGGCGACAGTGCGGAGACGACACGAACTTTACGAAACCGCATTCCTTTTACCGTGATAGGAAAGTGCGCGGGCGAGGAAAGCGACGGTGCGGAGAGACACGGGCTTTACGAAACCGTATTCCTTTTACCGTGGTAGGAAAGGGCGCGGACGGCAGTATCCCTGGGGCATCGCTGAGAATGAGTTCCAGCATAAATGATGGAAATATGACGACATCCGTGGCCGGGTGGTATATATGCCGGGTTTCAAGGTGTCGCCTACTCATAAGGGTTCGAATCCCTGTTGGTGCAAATGTTACTAAGATCACTACGAGAATTTTCACTTTATTTTCATGGATAGAAATATTTTGTTATGATACAAGTGCGGTACTTGTATCATAAAATACTTTAATGGAGTATGTTTACATTGTTCGAAAGTTCAAAATTACGAACAATCCAACGGAGTGTATAAAATGCTGTAAACAATTTACGAGTGAGAGAGGAGTTTCCACATCAGAATCAGAATGTTGTTAAAATTTAGTTTAACACACATTGAGCACAGGGGATTGGAGGGTGAAAAGGTGATTAAAGAGAAATGAGAAGTGATGATGATTAGGCACTTTATCTGATTATAGAAATTCCAAAAAAAAATAGCAAACAGTTATTATAATTTTAACTAGTGTGACGCCATATAATATAAAGAAAGTTTGTAAAACTGTCTGTCTGTATCTTCGTGATGATCTCAAAACTACTAGGTATACAGATTTTCATACGGTGTTCACCATCTTAGATAATTTTTCATGGAATTTTATGTTTAATATATGCCCGAGAGTTTTGTAGTCACTACCGTACTGCAGTGAGGGCGGATCACTAGTATTCCATAAAACAACAAACAATATTAAATCATCATCACAACAAAGCAACGAGGCAATTTATTAAAGCGAACCATTCGCATTTCAGTCGAGAATCTGGAGCACTGCGACTTCCTCGCTCTCCGCAACATGGTGATCCGGACCCACTTGCAAGACCTGAAGGACGTGACAAGTTCAGTTCACTACGAGAACTATCGGTGCCGCAAGCTGGCCGGACTGTCGCACGACGGAAAACCGCATAGGATCAACTCTAATAAGTAAGTTCCTTGCTACTAACACTCAATCACACCGAAATAAAATAAAGGTGACATTTCAATGATCATCAACAAAATACTAACTAACCTCAAGCTATGCCTGATGAAAATATATTTGTATTTTTATGGTTGTTTATCTTTATTTATGTTTCTTTTGTCTTTTTTTGTTCAAAATCGTGTTTTCCAGTGAGATTTAGATTTAAATCTGGACCCGGTAGGTGATGTTGCGGTGGAACTATAGGTTTTTTATTTTATTTTTTTAGGATAGAAATCAAACGATATTGGTTGGGTCCGTTAGTCCGATTATGAAATATGTATTGTATGTTTATTTAGTTTCCATAGTAGAGCAGTTAGTTTGTCACTAAATAATAATTGTTGTCCAATATTTTATTATTATTTCGTTAACCAATTTAATTTTTTATGGTGTGCATTTAGTATTTTTCTGAGGATCATTTAATATTTTCTATATAAAAAGACATGTTTTCGATCTAAATTCATCTTTGCATTCGACCAGATTTCCACTTTTTCGTATCATATGTGGTATTATACCACCACAGTTTGTTTATTGAGCATTGAAATCAAGCTAATTAAGTGTTTTTTATTGCTACTATTACATTTCTATTGCTAAATGTTTTAAATTAATTGTCAAATGCTTTTTAATTTGATGTCTTAAGCATAAAGATAACTCATTTCCTGTTTGTCAAGCATTTATGCAACAAACATTGTTAAAGAGTAATTTTAATTGTCATCTGACCCCTCGCTAGTATAATTACATCACTTAAGAAGTTCATAAGGTGAAACCCTTTACTAGCAACTACGTCATTTTTAATTCATCAAAAGGCCAGTGTTTTCACTGATTTGAATGATTATCATGACGGCGATTACTGCACTGTATATTCTCATTATAGCTATACTTAAAGTTATTGAATAAGAATTCCTTTATTCCGCAATAATATACAAAATGTACAGAATTATTTATTCAGCGCAACATGTAATTAGTTCAAGACATTCCAGTTATCATTGCTATTGTCACATATTTGTATGAAACAGTATACTTTTACTGAGTTCTTAAGAAGTTTCTTACAATGTTATCTTTTAATCCACTAAATATTATATATTTATTCTGCTCCAAAAAACATTTAATTGGCTTTTTGAATTGACGTCGGGATCTATATTAATACCAATTTATTAGTTTACTCTTCAAGTAAACATGTTTTACTAACTTAATTTTTTAATAATTAATATGCTCTAGAATTTTTAAAAGGCATGGTTACCTTTTTAAATTAACAACCTAAGTTGACGGGGTTGCATTATTAATGAATAATTCTAATATTATATAACTGTGTTGAATTGAATACTGTTGTCACCACAATAAGGTGACCAGACTTAATTTTTTACTAATGAATTATTATTACCAATCATAACCTAGTAACTCGATTGACTATTTAGCATTAATATAGTATAATCATTGCTGCATGTCTGGTCACCTTCTGTTACTGTTTCGATATTCTTTCTTCTAGCTGTTGCAATTGTGTGCTACAGAGATTTTTTCGTTATTCATTCATTGTTTTAGTATAGCTGCATATGACATTCTTCGATTACTCGAATGTTCTGTGCTTGGGCATGCAGAAATGAAATACTCACTGTTACATTATCATCATTTCAAACATGGACTATTTTGAAAATCATACTCTGTCACTTGGTGCAAGTTGTAATGATAATAAATTATAATGGGACAAACCCATTTGATTTTCAAAATGTCCTCGCTCAATATCATAAATCATAATAACTTGCAGTCAGTATGCTTTTGCAGTGGCATTAATAACTGTTTGTTTTCCATTTATTCCTTGCAAATTGATTACGGCAATTTGCGTGTGTCACAGAACGCTGCACAGTGTGATTCACTTACGCATCTATAAGCAGGTGTTTCGATACGGTATTAATAAATGTATTGGCACATATACCATACATACCAGTCTGTACGTTTCTGTTGTTTGTATGTCGCAATGTAATAATACACTCGCTTATTAATTTATTTTATTGAAATACTTAACTATTTACTTTCAATTATTATACCTAGACCTACCTTGTATTTGGGTTAAATCTATCGGTGCACACTGAGGAGATTGTAAACAAATGTTCATCATAAAAATATTTTTATAATTAAATTTAACTTATTAAAAGAAACAATTCAGCATGCCCTCGTTTTTATAAAAACCATGAACGAGAGATATTAATTTAAATATAAAATGCCTGAGTTTTCTATATTAAGAAGTATTATAACACTTTCATTTCGTGAAGTAAAGATAATATATATAATTTGCTCGCTAAAGCAATCTTCACTTTTGTATGTGTGCCGCGCCGTTATTAATGCCACTGTAGACGCTAACACGCCGCGTGCCCTAACTCTGGTTGTGTTGGTGTTCAGTTTGTGCCCGCAAGGACTGATGAACAGTTTCATGACCGTCTGGTAAGTGTCGCGCATAACTTTAACTTATACCACTAGCTGCCACTATCGCCATTCCCACCAATATCAGTATCAGTTTGGCATCGACTCCATTCTTCACTTTGCTGTGTAAAGCTTGGCTTTTTAAATTAAATTTCTCAACTAAGTCGAGTTCTACAAAATTTCGTGTTTCCGTTACGTATGCGAAATAATCTACCCTCAACTATTTTAGCTAATAATTCGAAGAAATTGTATAAGGGGGAGTGTTTATTATAATTTAAGTTTTAAATAACACGTTAAATAAAACAAGTTTCAACGGGTTAGATGCATTGATTTTATTTATTTATTGACGTTTCGCAGCCTTTGCAGGAATGCGTTGTCAGAATCATTACACATTATGGTTACGTAAAGTATTCACTCAGCTGTATTTCAACAAAAAAATGTCATGCAAATCTTTGTCTTCACTTATGTTTTATTCTTCCTGTTAATCGTTTGATCAGATCCTAATGTTTCGTCAGTGTTGTTATTAAATTTAAGTTTTCCCTAGTCATATTTATTCAAACTCACATAAAACCTCGCTTTCTAATCTATTTATGCTTTAGTTAATATAATTAATATTTGCACTAGCTTTCCGGTCGAGTGGTATAAATGCCTAATAGAAAAAGATGTATATTACTTGGTGTACAAATTTTATGTATAGCCGGCACTTCACATGGCTATTTATATTTGCTATTTGTGCATTTTAAAGCATTATATCCTTATTATGCTGTATAGGGACTAAAACTGATGTCAAAGTAACAAATAGATAAGGAATATTTTCGATATACTCTGTTTGAGGAAAAAAGTTAGTGGACCGCTTTCTTTATCGCACAATCGCTTACAAAAGACAAAGATGGCAAACTGTGTCACACAAGAAAGGAGACTGTCATTGGTCGGTAGTATGACAACATACAATCCGGCCAATGACAAAAAAGCTTAGCTTTCGTCGGTGTTAGCTAGTTTCCGTGAATAGAATGTAGTTTCGACTTGTTGATGAAACAGTGCAACTACATTTTTTTTATCTGTGTCGGCGTTATTCCTCTCCTCAAAATACATTGCTTGCTATGCTTATTTAACTTGAATCAGGACTGTTTGTTTATAACATTACATTAATTCACTAATTATCACTGCCACCTATACATTACATTCATTCACAAATTTTTACTGCCACATTAACATTCAGGCCAACTTGCATCAAAGTTCTTAATCAAATTTAAAACAAAATCATGCTTTAACTTCACTCTAAAGGTAAACCGCTTAACTTATTTTGTAATTTCATTCTCTTGTTATGTGCCCGCCGCCCGCCCCTCACGGTCCCCGTTTTCGTCCTCCCCCACACCCTTTACCCCGCAGACAAGGACTCAGTTAAGCGGTCTATCTATATATCTATTTGATTTTAAACAATTGAAGATGGCGCGATGTTTTAAACATGATTTAGCGTAAAATTTATTTAGGAATGGCTCTGATTCTACATTGTTCTCTAAACTTATATCTAAAATAAATTTGACATCAGTTGCTCCTATTCATTCTCTCTAGAGCATGAAAAGGTTATACTATTGTCAAAATTGGTTTTCAATTTAGTGAATCAGGTTCAGTGTTGGACCTCAGTCTAGGGAACAGAACCTTTACCATATTTAAATATTATTCAAAAAGGGAATAAATTCATTTTGCATCACTATTCAATTTATATATGCTTACTAATTTATCAAAAAAAACTGTCGATCAAGTTTGATTTAACATGTGCCTTGCAGTAGTAAAATACCCAATATGTATTACGTAAAAAGTGAAAGTTGGTGGTTGGTATTGATCTTTAGGCATGATGCAGGTAAAGCTTTACTAGTTTGCATGCGGCCGGTAGTTTTTCTTATTAAACATACCCATATATGGCTAATAATTTAACCGTGTCAGTGAGTCATAACTATTAAGGAATGTAATATTTTGTGTTGCTAGGTGTTGTAAGACCCAATTTTAGGACAGTTTCTTCAGTGCTAATATTTTGCTTTAATATGAGCATTACTGATGTAATTGTATTATATTGTAATTGTTTGCAAGAGGAGTTATTAATATTTTTTGTTCTACTGTGGTGCTTATTTATTCAGTTCGTAACTGCTATAAACAGATTCCTGTATGAGTTGATGTCTGTATATGCCAGTACATTTATACGTTACCGTTGTAATAAATCGAAACTTTGTTCTCAGGAATCCTTTGGCCCAAATGGAAGAAGAGAAGAGAGAACATGACCTTAAAATGAAGAAGATGGAAGTCGAAATGGAGCAGGTTGGTAATATTAAAATTAAAGTTAAAAGACGGATATAAAAACAAAAAAAATATTCTTTAAAATACATAATCACATATATAGACATCTATACTTACCAATATTATTAATTATCGTGCAACAATAGAACAATCAACTCGGTAAATGTTGAGTAGTTTAAGTTTAATGTTGAGTAGGTAAAGCGTCGTGGCGGTGTAGTTCAGAATATTTTTGTATCATTCCATAGTTACATTTGTCAAGTTGTATGGAAATATTGTAAAGTTTGCTAACTTAAAATCATATTTAGTTTCAGTTTCCGAAATACTCGGTTGATGGATATCTATATAAGCTAGACGAAATCAAGAAATAGCTTATTCTATGTGTTTTCACTCAGTGTTAGTATTTATCTGCCCTCAGTGCAATTTACGCACGATTATTTAGATTTTTGATGAACGACATTTTGTTAATAAGAAGTTATTTTCAAGTAACTGTATCAGTTGAAACAAGCACATTAGTGATATTCAACGCAATAAGCGCAATATCCTGTCTGTTCTGGAGACAGATACCGTTTAATCCTTTTCGTTTTTGGTGTCAGGTGTTCGAGATGAAAGTGCGCGAGAAACATGCCAAGCTTAAAGAATCCGAGGCGGAGTTGAGTCGACGGCACGAAGCGACGCGGCGCGCGCTAGAAGCGCAGGCGCGCGAACTAGAGGAGAAACAGCGTGCGCTTCAAGCGGAGAAGGCCGCCTGGGAGCGCGAGACCGGCCTCTCGCTCGACGACCTGCGCCGCCGCTCGCTCGAGGCCAACAGCAAAGAGTCAGTATACCATACGCACGTGTCACACTGTAAACTCTCCTCCACTAGGCCGCGCTGCAACAGAAACAATGCGTGCTTCAATTGGCGATAGCCGCCTGGGAGCGCGAGACCTTCTCTCGCTCGACGACCTGCGCCGCCGCTTGCTCGAGGCCGACAGCAAGGAGTCAGTATATCATACGCACGTGTCACACTGTAAATTCTTCCCCACTATTCCGCGCTGCAACAGAAACAATGCGTGCTTCCAGAGGAGAAGGCCGCCTGGGAGCGCGAGACCGACCTCTCGCTCGACGACCTGCGCCGCCGCTCGTCCAAGGCCAACAGCAAAGAGTCAGTATACCATATGCACGTGTCACACTGTTAACACTCCCCCACTAGGCCGCGCTGCAACAGAAACAATGCGTTCTTCCAGCGGAAAGGGCCGCCTGGGAGCGCGAGACCGGCCTCTCGCTCGACGACGAGCGCCGCCGCTCGTTCGAGGTCAACAGCAAAGATTCAGAATACCCTACGCACGTGTCACACTGTAAACTCTCCCCCACTATGCCGCGCTGCAACAGAAACAATGCGCGCTTCAAGCGGCGATAGCCGCCTTGGAGGGCGAGACCCACCTCTCGCTCGACGACCTGCGTCGCCGCTCGCTCGATGCCTACAGCAAGGACTCATTTTGACAGCTCTGTAATCCTATCGTCAACGTCAAATTTGGAAGGAGCCAGTTTGTTCTTATGTCCGGTAGGGGCGCTCCTTAGTTTTCATAGAAACTTTGAGGATGCGATGCGATTACGGATCTGTCAAAATTCGTACTTGGACCACTGTTTGTATTCGAATACTTTTCACTCATTGAAATGTTCATAAAGCTATGAGAGAATTAGTTGATATGTATGAACTGAAACTTTGAGATGGCCTCATGTCAACGAGTTAATCCTCTTTGAAGATTTATCCTTATCTTCTTTTCAACCAGACCATGTGTATAAGAAAAGAATAGTTGGCAATCCCGACCCGTTAGAAATCTCTAGAGGAAATAATAATAGTTTTCTATTTGCCACCGGTGTCTTTACAGCATCAGCCTATTGATGTCTCCATAGCTGGAGCATAGACCCTCCCTATGGATAGTTTAGGGAAAACAAGACAAGGGACCTTTTGTCACAATTTCTGTCTTGTCACAGACCACCACTTATGATTCCTATGGATAGTTTAAGGAAAAAGGGCCATGAAGGATTAGTTTCAAGAACCACCTAGGTTCTAAGCAGTTTTGTAACGAGGGACCAGCACTTATGATTTGTATCCACCCCCTCAAGAATTTGTAATCAATCAGTGATTTTATTTATGTAATATTTTGACCACTGGTTCAAAGATTAGGTTTAAGGGTTATTTGATGACTACCAATTATAGCCTTGAACAACGGATCAGCGTGCCTTACAAAGCACGGAGGAGCTCGAAATAATATTTTTTCGGTCACCCGGGAATAATAGGTTGCTTATGTTCCCTGATCGCAGGCCGTGCTGACCACTGTGTGTTTACTGTGTGTTACCTCTAAACTTTTCTAGATGTAATGTCTGATAATAACCCGATCGTATTTTATTTCCAGGACCGTCGACGGTAAAGATAAGAAGGACAAGAAAAAGAAAGGTTTGTTCTAAGTAGATCGTGCCGTCGGCCCGCACCCACCGTACACTTGCGTGACTAACGCGTCCACCCACTTGGCCGCATTGCACTACACTATCTAAACGATACCGACGCGACACTAAACATATAATGTGATTCAACTAAGAATAGGACCGACTAGGCGCCATATTGTGACGTCATAGCATTCAATTCAAACCAAGTAGGTAGAGTGAGCAAAAGTTTTATTTTAATAAAATTATTTACTAAGATTGAGAAAAAAACAAGCAATTTTTGATAATATTTATTTATAAAGACTGTGTGAGAAAAACATTAATCAGAATCTAGCTCTTCAATTCCGCTTATCTCTGCATTACCGGCGGAGTAGTTATGAATAAATCATACTCTATTACTAGGTCACATACGAATATGCATCCTTTATGTAAACGAAAGTTTTAAATCGAGTTTCTGAACGCTACTTAAAGTGACATTTGGTTGACGATTTGGGTTATCAATCATTCATAGTCAAAGCACAATAAATAAAACAAAACAAGCAATATTAATTATCAATATTTGTTATTGTTTGTTTATAAATGTTTGGTTTTTATTCTAGAATTAGTCGAGTGCTAAAAAAGGGTTCCAAGATTTTTTTGCAAACCGTACTTTTGAAGCGACATTGGACAGATGGAGGTCATTGGTTTTCCTATTCTTATTTGAATCGCACTATAAACGTATTCTTAAAAAAGCGTAGCAAATTTATGGTTTCCGGTATTGAAACGATATCAAAATTTTTGTACGTCATTAAAATTTCGATTGTTTTATTGGAAAAAAAAACAAATGAAACACGATTATGATAAAGAAGTGTTGCTGTGTGTTTGTTTAATACAGATTTTGTGCAAGAGAATTTTCAAGTTTGCGAGTTTCAGATAGAAACGATTTCATGTTGATATTGTATTTTGGACGCGTGCCTAAACCGATACTTAGCATTGCGGCCGTATGGGACGACTGTTGATACCTCTTTGTACGCCTATGTTACTTTAATCTAAATTTCGAAATGCAATATTTAATAGCGTTGACTCGTTTCATATTACTAACTGTATATTGTATGCAGAATATTATGAGATTATTACATTCTTAGATTGTACATATCGTGTTCGAAATTTTGTTGAGAAACATAGGCCTCGCGACGTACGTACATAACGTACTGTTTTAACGAGTGAATTACTCATATATGAGATTGTCTTGAGATAGTTTCTAATATTGTGTTTATTAATTTATATGCCTGATTCTGGGGTTTATAGTGCCATTTTCAGTGTTGTGACTTGTCGTTGCTGTTTGTCAACTAATCTAAATTCTTGTATTGACTTGTTGCTTATAATTTCATGTTTAGCAAGTTATTGTGTGCTCATATTCGACCATTTTTCTTTCGATATCAGAGGTGTCCAACACTCGGTTACACAAATTAGTATGACATATTCTTATGATGATAATACTGACGGAAATAACATGATTTCCTACGCTAAATAAGACGCATAATAATGTAATTATGTGTATTCGACGGTCTAGTTGGACAGGCATTGTTATACTGTAGTTTCCATCGAAGTGGTTTACTTTGTGTAATGAAATCTGTCAAGTTTTTGTAAATATTAATAATTTATTAACAGGTACGTACTAATTTTACGTAATAAGTAATACATTTTCCACGGTGACTTACTTCTTTATCTGTTTAACAATTTTCTGTTTGATTATTATTTTAAATTCCAATGCGAATATATTATGCAATTTTCAGATTGGTCTTTTAAGAGTGTTGCAACGGGAATAGCAATATAATATGGACGCGAGTCCAAACACCGCGCACCACACTAGTTTAGCGAGTTATAGTTCTACGGTTAACTAGTATAATGGAACAACGATTAATAAAGACTACACATTCTATTGTTATCTGGCATTAACTGGAGATTGGAATGGTTTTAGGCGTCACTTTTGTGTATTTATTTATAGGGGTTTTTCCATGACAAAGCATTTACTATGAATATAAGTGAGGCCTAATTTTTTTAACGACTTGTGTTTCTAAAGGCACCTTTATATACATTTTTCATATAATGGATATTTATGTTTTTTATCAGTTATTTCATAAACTAGCTGTTAAAAGCGAACAGGAAGCACAAACGACAGGTAACGATTAGACGTTGACGTCCACAAAGATGCCAAATAGCTTGTAATGACATTTATGGTTTATTTGAATACGAAGAATCATGTAATATGTGAACGATTTTAAAGAGTTCTATAGATATTTAGCTAGAGATGGCTATGGGATTTATCCAGCTCAAATTCTGTGTAAAGTTAATAAGAGATGAAATCAAATCTTTACTGATAAATATAGCATCACATTGTCTAATACATAATTTAATTAGTTCAAATCAAATTAAATAAAATATCTTTAAATCTGCTTTCTGTTATATTTATAAGTAGAGATAAACATATTGTAGTGATTCGTAACTAAAATAGGACTACACACCATTCTAAATTTTAAAATGAAATTAGATAAGAGATATTTTTTACTTCTATATATTTAATACATATTTGGCTTGTTCAGTGCATTCGCATAACTTTCCAAGTTATGGAATAGCATGGCGTCAGATTCAATGCAGTCGGGTCATATGGTTTTACAATGGGTTGATGATCAAAGGTTTGTCGACAGACTGTTGATGTGATCCACTGGGAATTCTGCATGTGTCTCGACTATACTTTTAATTGTGCTTAGTGATAACTATAAATATGCTCATAGCTCAGTTGTGACATAGTCTAGCCCTAGCTAGGTGTTAGCATTTCTGTGTAATACGATAAGGATATGAGACAAAGATCGCTCACCAATAAATTTTATTGTCATTATCACAAATGCTTTCTCATCTATATTCTCTAAAAATGTAAAAAAACCTGACGTTACAGTAATTTTATTTCATTAATATACGCCTAGAATATTTAAACTTAATATTTCATAAAAAGATTTTTTATGGAATGTTCACAATGAGGATGTAAAGGAATAACTTCAGTGATAAAATTTTGACCTTACGTAGAAATTGCACACTACACATTTTTTCCTACTCTCTGACTATTGATTATGTAAATATTTATGTTTAGTCATTGTTTATATTGAGATGATATATAATACAAGTTACTCAATTAATACTTATGTAATTTATGAGACATGCATAATCTTTATTTAATCAGCATGCCGTGGTTAAATTTGTATTATTTCCTACACCGCAGTATTGACTTCCGCATTAAAGTTAGGCGTTTAGTAGTAAGTTTATGATTAATTTTGTATTTTTGTCTGGGTTTCGACCCACTTTACCATACGGATTATTTGCTTAGTCATTACAATGGATATGTGATGTATGATGGGTGAGCAGTGAAGTTCAGACGATGTAATATATTGTACCTTTGAATATAAATAAATACGTAATATATAGGCTCACTTTGTTTAATTTTATGCCTGACTTCGATTGCTGTGAAGCAACAAATTAGAAATCGTATGCAAGCATTACTCTCTAATAAAGGCCGCTAAAACATGGGTTCAAACTTATTGGGATCTGACATGGAGGCGTGGCCTATTCAATATGGCGCCGACGGGGGTGCATTTGCCTAGTCAAACCGTGATGAAATACCGTAAAATAGTTAAATATCAATATTAGTGGTAGATAATGATAGTCTTAACAATTAATGATATTTGTGAATGGTCCGGTTCAACGCCCAGTAATCGCAATTTTCGAGAGGGTGAACGACTGGTAGCTGCGAAACATTAATTGAATTGTGGTATACACAAACATTTATTGAATTGTGGTAACTAAACCAAGGAAACTCTTTCATTTTAATGTTGTTGCCGTCCCATTCTTTTCTTAGTGGAATAATAATGAGATCTTGTAAAATGCTACTTCACACATGCTTAACCTCAAAAAACGAATTTGACTCACCTGGTAATATATAGTCGTCTTTCAGAAAATGCAATGAACACACTTTCATGTGAGGATTTATTTTACAGTCAATCTTCAAAGCGTTCTTCCATGCTGTGAATTGGTCCACTTTTTCCATTTGACCAAAATAATTTTTGATGTAAACACAACGCGCATTTTTTTTAGGAAACTTATGAAACGTTAATTCACGGTTTTTTTGAAAACTGCTTCCACATCCATACACACAACACTTTATTCTTTTTTTAGAAATCTTGCGAGGGTTAAATATTCCTAATTCTTCCGTCATTTTTTGTTTAATTTCTCAAAAGTACTAATGACACTAATGATAACTTATGTGTTTTGATGAGCGATGCACCTCGGTATTAGTTCCAAAATTGAACACCAGGTGTCTCACGAATTTTGTCAGATCCCAATACAACTGTACTTCAATACTAACGTGACACGCACACTGACAAAAATATTTTGTCGCCCCTCCCACTTGATCGCATTTTGCGTGGAACCACTTTTTAGCACAGTACGTATTCCATATTATTTCCAGTTCGTTGCTTTGAGGGTACCAAAAATAAGAAAATTGTTTTCATATGAATCACTTTTATTTGGTGATGTATTAGATCACATACACAGTGTTATACATTCGTCGGTCACATCAAAATACAATTCATAAATTTACGAACAACCTCAAAATATTCTGTTATGTAAACAACGTAGCTACATCTAGGTATTATATTAATAATAATATCTTTGGCAGCACTATGGAAAATATACTTCTACTTAATTATTTCAATTAAAATGCAACTTCAAATATAACAATCACAACAGTTTCTCGACAATACAATCTTTATTCTTTATACACATAAATTAAATGTTATTTACTTGAATTAATGAATTCGACGATACGTGAAACAACTAACTTCATTTGGATTAATATTCTATCAAAAGTAATTTTATTTACAGTACCTAATTATTTACCGGGGTTTTACTCCTTCAGGGTTACAATCCTTTACACGTTACATACAAGAGAACAATAAAAATATAATTATTAGAAGTAGGTACTTTGCACCTCCTATTACAGCATACAGCATATCTGCATTAGGCTAAATGTTACTACACATTATTACTTTGGTTCATTTGTTTTCCGACATCGTTTCATCCAGACTTACCACGCGTAGGTAAAAAGACAAAAAGGTTTAAAACTTTAGTAATCTACATCATAAGTGGGAAGCTCACCTTTTCAGGTATTTATTTTTTGAACATTCTAATATTTGACACAAGGGTACTTGCGCCCTTATTATGAATCAAACATCGAAGAATCGTATGAAAAATCAATTTTATACTATTTTTGACAGTCTAAACTTTTCTAATCGTTTTCTAAATCTGTTCTAAAATTTTTGTACTTGGTACCTAGGTAGATTTAAATTTTCGAATTTTCAAGAAAGTAGCTTAATAAAGAGTCGGAGAAAAAGGGAACCACCGCGTTTCCTTCGGTCCACATTGCGAGCTTTGCCGTGACTACTTTAACTAGCTATGTATTATTAACTGCATAAAACTTACTATATCTTTGGTGTTCCTGAACCCAGTGTAACTCGAGTTACACTTAAAATTTAAACCTGTGATTTTAAGTTTATAATTTTACGGGACAATTTGCTAGACCTCCATAAAGTATAATGTAATATCACAAATTACTGTATCTCTAAGTACGTACTATACACTAACCAATAATTACGGTATTTTATTGCGATGGAAGTCAAATTGTGTTAGACTAAAATGCAGGAGTGTATAAATATTAAGTAGGTATGTACCTAATAATTTGGAATTCCTCAACAAATGTGAAAACGTAAAGAATTACGTATAATGTCTCAAAGCTGAGGTTTTTCGGTATTACTATCTTGACTCCTCTTATTAAGTTATGTCATTCATACTGAACTGGATTGCCTGATGCCTAGCTTATAGTTTTTATGATCTGTAACGAAGAGAGCCGAGCGACTCACTTAGGTACTGATATTTTTATCTGTGACCGTACATCATACAGTCATATGTATTCGCTGAAAACTAAACTAAATAAAATACAAAGAAAAATTTCAATATTTTAGTTTTCATTAGCGCCGCGCCATATTATATGGCGCTAAGAAGCGCGAACAAATTGCGCTGGGACCTCAAACAAAAAGTTGGAGAAAGGATGGGAATTCATAGTGGAATTGTATCAGAACTGCTACACCGTCAATTTTATTTTAGAAACATCTATACCTGTTAGTGCACATACAAGTTCATCAACAGAACATAGTTCTGTGTTCTGTTAGTGCGCTGCATATAGCTAGCACAGTAATAGTCATGATGACAACTTTTCCATATTTGTCGATATTTTGCTACCACACGATGGAAAATGTGCTCGAGCTGTAAAATTATTTCTTGATCTAAAAATAAAAATTATACTAATCAAAATTTCAAAAGACAGGAACTGTAACGTAGTCATGTCACTTTGTATGGAAATTGGGCAGGGATTGCTTAAATGAAATAGATTTTTATTAGCAACTTTTTACACACTCCTACATTTTAAGGGACGCACGTATAGCTCAGGCGTTGCATCCGTTAGCTCGGCGAATAGAATCCAACAGTTATCACTACATGAGGAGGCACAATGGCACAGCTATTGTATATTAAAATGTTCTACATATCTCAACGTTAAACTCTACTACGTCACAGAACACGTAATAAGTATCTTTTTCATAATGATTCTGCACACAACGATGTTTTGTAAAATAAATCTCGTTGCATCGCTTTTTATAAGTACATAAACTATATAAGCAAATTTACCCAATATTAAACACGACATTCTTAACAAATAGTTATATCGGTTCAGTAAAACCGTCGACAATCTTAACTATTTTTTCTTTACGTGATTTGTTTGGCACGTTCAAAATATTGCCCGGTGCGTTAGTTCAAGTTGAAGAAGAGTATAACTACGAAGTTGAATATTTAAAAATTTAAGCAGTGGAAATTAGTACTTCAAAGATTGTGTAAGATTTGGTTTAAACATTAAAGTTTAATGGAAATGTAGATCAAGTATAATAAATAATGTTTAGGCGAATATAAAATTTTGTCACAGTAGCTATTAGCGGTCTATGAAGTGACCTTTAATTAAGCATTTAAAAGTGCTGTATAATCGAATCATAAACACGTATTAGTAATAATTTATGTGTGAAAAACTCTTAATCAACTTAATGGTATTATTAGTCAAAGCAATTTATGCTAAACTTGGAATCTAATGTACCATGGCCACAAAGTTCGATTCACAACACTTCAATATAAAGCTTTTATCAAGCTCTTTACATTAATAAAATATTGTTAGTAACTAGCCTAACCTGTCATATTAGGTTGAAACGGACTTATCTAAGAATAGTCTAAGTACGTTATAAAATTAAGTAAGAAGGCAATAAATTTAAGAGTAGTCGTTAATAGTAAGGTATAACAATTTGATTTTACAAATATAAAACCAAAGCCAAGATTGTATATAGGTTAGAGTAAATTCTTAGATTACATTAGTGAAACAGGCAGTGCTATATAGACCGCTAGAAGTGCGAGCGAGACAGACGATCGGCGCGGACGCAGCGACAAGTGATAGCGGTGGGATGGAAGCTTATTAATACTAGAGCTTTACAAGATGTAATTGACAACAAATCATGAACAATATCATTGTAAATAAGAGTAGACAGAAATACAACGAAGTAAGTAACACAATAATCAAGTGCAGTTAAATGTTGTAGTCTACGCATTTTTACTACTTCACTCTTTGATTATGAATACCAGTTTTGTAAAGCCTGTAGCACCTACCTACTCGACGATACAGAGAACACCTAAGTAAGAGAATTAATAACAAACCTTTCCCTATAGGCACGTTCGACCGTCGCTTTATAATAATCTACTTAAACACTAAATAACGACCGTGTCGTCTCTGTTTGCAGTAGTAACAATTTCTTAACAATTCTAAGTGATATGTTGATTATTGCCGTAATGGATAAACGAGTCAGCGACGTTCCAGATATGCACGATGATGCGACATGCACGCCGCGTGATATGATCAGCGTTCAACATGCAGCCAGCGTCTCACTGAAGCAGGAACGTAACTAGGGAGACATTATTTTTAACTCGACTGCAAAATTGCTATTGAAGAATGATGTTAACGTCCGAAATAATAATATAAATGCACCTCTATTTTTTTCAGTATATTGTTAATACTCGAGTTTTCTCTAAATTTTCTGAACGTCGTCACAACCATTTTACTCACATATTAGTAATTTTATACAAATTAAAATCCTATCATCAATCGAGTTATCTTTGAAAGTGGCTTTATTAGTGTTACAATATATTTTTTATAAGGTTTCAGGTGTCTAGATACGGTCCTGTTCGTGTTGAGGAATGCAAGTTGCGTGGATTTATAATTATTGCTTGCTTGTTGCGCCCGCGGCGGCCGTTTCGCCGTGCGCTCGCGTCTATATAACACTGGCGTTTCGGGCGACGTGGGGTGCTTTCTTGTAGCCACCAGAGTCAAGTTCCCTCATCTTAACGTTAAACATCTTCTCCGCCACAAAGATGAAGTACGACATCCATTACGATAATCAAGTACACACATGCAACACACATCTATAATTTAGATTCACAATCATGCAATGTTCAGCCACCGGCCATGTCGAACATTATTATATTCACTCTCTATTAAAATTTATATTTACAAAACTCGTTGAAAGAGAAACGACTAATGCCATAACATCGAATGCTAGAGTAACAATTGTGTGGGTATGAAGTAGAATGTAGTGGTGGTAGCATGTTAGTAAATGGGCACCATTGATGCTGAAATAAAAATGTAGGAAGCTGTACGTGCATAACGAAAACGAGTGCGTCAGGACCACAGAAGGTGCGCAGTTATTAAGCAAAGTTTTAGCAGGGTGATATAAGGTACAGATATACAGATTTTATATATAAGGTTTCACTTAATAAATAGGTCGTGGGGAAAATAAAATAAGGTAGGTATATAACTAATTATGCACATTTGTGTTGTTTGTTTACGTATCAATTGTAACAATGTGTAACATTATGAAAGTGTAACAAGTATTAATTATTGTACATTTTCACTCTTCTCCTTATTTATTGATCACAAAGTTATCATAATCGAGGCAAAATTTGTAACTGCAACAAGTGCCAGCGAATGTTTCTTTCTAATCTAAATAGTTTTACACAGAAATTCGTACGAAAAAGTATGACACGTGTTGTTAACATTAAAAGACCTAAGTAGTAACAAGTTATTATATTAAACAACGTTAGATTACTTAGACCCACAGCCAAATGCGTAGCGTGAGCACGCTTGCGATCTACTTAATTAATTATTAGGAGTCCAAACTTATTTCTGCGCTCCATGAATAGCGCATCTGTGTGTCGCAAGTGCTGTTCAAAAACTAATTTGTATATCGTACTGTTCATCTTAACATATTACTATAAAGCTGCAATCCACCGAACATTCACTCGGTTCATTGTGATATGTTCAGCAGTTTGACAGCAGGTAATGGTCGGTATTAAAGCATCAAATGTATCAATGTCTATATTTAAATCGGCATAGCATAGCCAGAGACACATTTGATCCCTAGGACAAAACATCGATCTGGATATGCATGATTCTGACAAGAGGTCATTCGTTGTACACATTCATTTATAATATAACTAATATTAAATGAATATCACTAAAATTCTATCTGAACAATTGAAAAATAAAATATCAAGAAAAGAATTGTCATAAAAAAAAATAGACATGGACTGAACCTACCATAACTACAAGTAAAACTGGGCTAGATTAGTGTGAGAGAGACAAAGCGATCTGGTGGCCCATAGTTCGTCTTTGTATTAGCTGGTTTTTTCTCTTTTCCCGAGAGTTCTCAATTTCGCCCCGGTGCCTCTATGTCTATGGGTAAAACAAAGGAATTAGGTTACTGGATTGTCTAAGTAATTGACTTTATCAGCGTCATGCACGTCACAGAGCGAGGCTCGTCCTCCCGACCGCAGGCGACGTGTTGTTTCTCAGACGTTCGTCCTTAAAACAAGAGGAAGCTGACCCTGGTCCGGCGCGCGTCGCCCTTGCCGCGCCGGCCCATGCCGTACTGTCACATGGCTGTGTCGGACGAACTCCCCCCCGGCTTGGCGTCCCCGCCCACGCCGCCGCCGCCGTCCTCTTCTCGTGCCGTGCCCCGTCCGCCGCCGGACCCCGTCCCGCCCGCTGACAGACCCGTGAAGTCCAGTTTGTACTGCACACGACAAACATGTTAGCCCCCACCCTAAAGTAGCTGGTTTCGAGTAACGCATCATTCCCAATGATGAACGCCATCGAAACAGTAGCCGTTGCCGAATCCGAGGTCAGTCTTCGGAACGTAATGCAACGCCTAAGAAAGTACCCAATGATTACGGAAACACCATGCACGCGTTTTTGTTAGTCACACAAAGCGTTTTTTAAAATAAGAAGAATTAATAATATCGACTGATTTTCGATCAAGTTTTGTTTCATTGATTTTTAGAAAAATGACATAATCTCGGATACGATAACTGTTAATAAAGAAATCTAGCTTTACTTCAAAAAGGTATAAAGTAAGATACTTAAAGTTTATAAGAGAAAACTTTATAAACTTTAAGAACAATTTTTACCACACAGATTCTAAACTAGTTAAAATTCATGGCAACACCACATCAACAACATTCAAAAATTAGCTATAGATTACACCATCAAACAAATTCTACACTAAACTTTGGCAAATCAGTATTAGGAGATCTCATCAGTTTTCATGTTATTGCATTGATTAAACTGATTGTGTTAGACAAAACCACAGTTTTGAACTGACACGTTATACCTACTTCAACCATTCAATACACTATTTTCACTCTTAAATGTGGATGCTTTTCGTAAATTTGGCTTCCAATGCATAGGGACTCTCTCAGGCATACACAGGGAATACTGGAAATACGAAATAAAACAAAAACGTAAAGGATATAAAACAAATCTAAAAGCAAAAGACAAATAAAAGGAGTATTTGATGTATTTAAATAAAACAAAACATGATTAAACATAAATAACAATTAGACCTAGCTTATTGTATCCTAGCTTAAAGTGATTTTCTGTTTCTCAAATAAAGGGTGGATGTTGGCGATAACGCGAATTAAAAATCATGAGCTCTTGGCGATGAGCATGAGTACACAGAACATGCGTAACTACATACACAGTACACACAGAAGTACGAGAGGACATTAAGATCGGGTATGTTTATAATAGAGCAAGGCGGAGACAGACCGAGTCGTCCCTTGTATTCGCTGAGGATTTGTTTATCGCTTTCTCCAGCGGTATAAGACCCTGGGAGATGACATCGGAGCACGGCCAAAGGAAAAGAGAAAAACATAAAATAAAACATGGGTATATTAAAGTAAAATGGGATTTAGGTAAAATTCTATAACTACCTATTTCAAACTAGAATCTAAATTACTAAGAAGGTTTATTCTTGTCCAAATTAATTGACAATTATTATGGGAATCAATTCCAACTTAGTTTACCAGGTATTTTCCAAGAATAAACCTCGAAACTGTGATCACACTTGTTCACCCGTTTCCCGAAAGTCTAACAGTCACGAATGAAATAGAATCTTTAAAGTACTTAACAGGTGCAACACTCTGGTGCCTTTTAACCACTCCCACACTGGCCTCCCACGGCAAAGGTACCTAAGGAACATTATGTTCCAATGCACTAACATTTTTATGCTTCCTAAAGAAATTTACTAAACTTTCAAAAAGTGCGACGTGTTGCTCAAAAAGGTCGTTATTAAAAAAAGTTAATTAATGAAAGATGAATAAGAAGATTGGTCACCTTGTTCGCGCAGTCAAAGCAGGTGGTAACGACCTTGCTTATGACGTTCATGAGGTGTTTGGTTTCTTGGATAACATTATCCACTTTGCTGAAAGTGGCTGCCCGGCCCACTGTTGGCTCTTTGACAGTGAACTGTAGTTGTTGTACATATGTTGGTACTTTATCTAAGTGTTCTAATAGTTCCTTTTTTGTTGTTCCAGCTGGCACCTGAAAAGTTTAAAATAATAACTTCAAAAGGATATTTGAGTTAACTATATATATATATTTTACTATATTTTCAGACGACTAAAATTTAATCGGTAAACATATTTTGGTTTTCGCACCTGATATGAAAATTGCCGTATTATTTTATAAAGTCTATTTGCTTCTTCCGCGAAGTACTCCGCTTGTGTGAAGAGGTCTTGCGTAGTATTTAAACGACCTTCGCCTTTTGTAAACTGGTACATAGCGAAGGCCATGGAAGACATATTTTTCGCCCTGAAACAATTTTCAGGAACTGTGGTCAATGACAATTTATTTGAGAGATTTATTTTCTATAAAATAATTGTCATTGACCACAGTTTCGATTACATAATTGGTTGACATTTAATTTTCCCTACACGAATTCAAGATCTTAATTAATTTTATTGCCATTCTTGGATTGCTATCTCTCCCTTCGGCCGGGAGACCAAACATTTATCTTATCGTAGCCATACAGTGTGTATGGCTACCATAAGATAAATCGTAGCGGGTATGTTATAAAACTGCACAGTTTCCTATACGTACGCCACGTACGATAAACTGTTCCGTTCGAACTGTACAGTCTGATCGTAACGATTTCTCGTAGTGTGTATGGCTACCATTAGTTGCCATTGTAGTTGTTTTTCAGCAATGTCAATTTGATGTTTAGCCAAGGAACCTAGTTATCAAAAAGTTAAATACTCATATATACCTCTTCACAATGTCGTTGTTTTCATCAGCGGCTGCACCTTGCCACTTCTCAGTCTCTGCATCCATCTCAGACGACATCATCTTCATCTCAAGACCAGATTTCGCAATTTTTGCTTGCTCATCGGAGTCGAGACGCACGGCTTTTAGAGGTTTACTCGTGGTGCCATGTTTCTTTAACAAATAAGTATTTATTTATTAAACTATCTAGTTTATACTCAAATGTAACTACAGAAAGAAATATAATTATAACGGTTTTATCGTGTTTTGTATACAGTCCACAATTATTAACTACTAGGACAACTTTTTGAGCGGGTAAAACAAGCGGTTGGTTTTATACAGAAGAACCAGATTGTACTTCAAGGAACTAGAAGACCTCCAGTGTTGTTTTTGCTTCATCAGAGGTAAGTGTCAATGTCTGCAAACTTACAACTACTACTACAACTAGGTGATGTTACTATAAATACACACGTCATACGTGTTTTAGGATCAATTATGAAACCCAAACCCAACGCACGTAATGGTCTAAGATCCGATCCTACATCGACCTTCACCGAGCTGATAATAGAATGAAACATATTTTATCATTAATTTAGTATATTAGAAAATATATTAAAAATGGGTTGCCTAAGAAAATCCTGGACAGACTATTTTTAATTAATTAAAAAAAAAAAAATTTAATTAAATGTTGCAACATCAAGATAATAAGAAAATGTTGTTCTAGAAGAAGTATAAAACGTATAAAATGTGCAGCCCTTGGGTTGTCTATTATTTACTTGGGTAAACTACTGAGTTGCCACTGTTGCCAGGTATAAACAGGTATGTCGATGCCAGTTACGTTACCGAACGGCTGCACATTCTATACGGACAACAATTACTTATTATCTTGATGTAGCGACATTTTTTTGAAATATTTTTTTGTAAATATTTCTAAATATAGTCTGTCAGGATTTTTTAGGCAACCCATTTTAAATATATTTTGTAATATACTAAAGTCATAATAAAATATGTTTCATTATATTATCAGCTCGGTGAAGGTCGATGTAGGTTCGGATCTTCGACTATAAGTACTATATCCGTAATTGACGCCGCCGCGCCGTTAACTTGGGTTGTTTGTCTATACTTACCAAAATAAAAAAAACTTTACGTTAAGTAAGTCGTTAACTTTTAGGCTATCATATTTGGGTAAATATTTATTGGATTTCTTTATTTTTTATTTTCAATAAATTAACTTGATCTCTAGACATTTTGGATATGTGTAGCTTTCAAGAGTTACGAAAAAGCTTGAACTTCGTAATAAATACTGAGTACCCCCGGTCTAGGTAGACTGCTGTACTGTTGTTTGTCCGGCCGGTCGTCAGTAAGGTCTAGTAGTTCCCGCGCTAGTCTCGCAGCGTCTGCTAGCAACCACGCCCACATGTCCAGGAATACGTCGAGGTTTTCTCGCGCGGCCGCACTGCCCGGGTGGGCGGCTAGCGTCCGCGCCGCCGTTACCACTTGTGGACCGTATATCCTTAGGTTGATCTCGGCGAATTTGGCACTCACTTGAAGTGTTTCCGACATCGCTATGTGCCTTAGCAGTTTGCATACCTGAAATAAGTTTGATTTTTTCTGAATAAAATATTGCTACGACTCAATATGATTGAGAGTGAATTTTTCTTGTTTCAATTGAAAGGCTGACGAAGTCTTCAAGTCTGGTAAACACAAAAGAAGTGAAAACATCTATGTCCACTCACTGCTAGTATTTTTGGTGGCTAACTTTTGGAGCAAGAGTCAATTAATATTAATTACCTCTATTATATGATCTAATTGTTCGTGGAGCCGGCTGGCTATATTGTGCAGTCTCTCTGATTCTCTCTCACCACAGGAACTAGCTGAAAAGTGATAATAGATTGATTTGGGCTTTTCTTGTAATTATCAGTATTATAATTTTACGCAAGTTAGTGTTGGTATTGGGTGAACATCTTTGCGCCATGGTCCGGATGCAAAGGAACGCTTGTTATTTAGAAGTTTTTCAGTGATGTAATCAAAAGTTGACAGAGCTTTTGCTTAAGTATTTATGAACATCCATCATCAACTTTAGAAAAGTTTTAATTGTCCGTCCAGGACGCAAAAGTGTTGACCCGTTATTAAAGCACCGCTGTACCTATTTTCCGTCGAAGGTTACCTATGTGCGCGAGGTCTGACGCGAGCCGGCGTGCCTCTTCGGCGAGCGGCGCAAGGTCGCGCGCCTGGTTCCGCGCCGCCGCCACCAGCGCCCGCTCCAGGTCAGACGCGGCACTGGTGGCGCCCGTGCAGGCACTCTCTAGTGCCGCACCGGAACCACTCGTGCCTTGCTCCTCCTAACAAATCCAATTATCTTAGAAGTAAATTTTACACTTATTTAGAAAAAAAAACGGTAAGAAGATTTTTGTGATATTTTAACCTATGAGCACTTATCATATCACTCACAAACACGTATTTGAAAGCATCATGAAGTGAACACGTATCGTTCTACTTCAAAGGAGATTGCTCAAATTGGCCCAAATGCACAAAAAATATTGACATACACGGTAATTCTTGGCGTAATTTATAATTTAATTTACAGTCATTAGATTTCAACGGACCACCTTTGTATAATATATTTACAATTTAACCGGTTTGGAAAACATACAAATCATTTTTAATGGCTATGGGTGTAGTTACATTCAGCCAAAGACTGATCGAAGTTGTTTATATAACATAAAAACAAATTTATTTTGTGAAGATCGATAAAATAAATCATTTTTTTATTACACTGTGGTATTAATATCCACAACTATATCATCATTTTCACTAGATGCAAATGTGCTCAGACAATTATTATAGATGGTAGGCGACATCATAAAGTCTATTGCCATACATTTTTCATCAAACGCCTCCATAAACACATTATAATCTGTATATATGTTAGACTTTAAGGTTTCTATCTATGGGCCTACGTTCCCCGACTATAAATTAATAAATAAATAAAATTATAAGGTGTGATACACTAAAAATCCAAAAATGGTTATCTTAAAAACATAACAAAAATAATGAAGCTACTGAATATATGGCTATAGAACCTAAATCTCTTAGCTTTCTTTGGTTTTACGTTTAACGAGAGTTTAAAAATTCTCTCTAATTTGTGGCTCATTCACAATCATCACAGTTTCTGTCACAGAGTACCTTATTATAACCGGAAATGCATAGATGATACCTGATTTTAAAAGTCACTTTTGTGAACTTCAAAAACAGGCAACTATCTGTTAATCTACATGCTCTATATACCTGAATCTAATCCATAATTTCGGTACTTGGCTTGATTTCTCTAGTTTACTAATATAACTTATTTGTTTTTTATTATTTTAATATGTTCAGTGTATATGGTTTATAGAAGTTCTCAGGGGTGTCCGTCAATAATATTCGTTTCTACAGTAATTTATATATAATTTCGAATCTAGGAAACAATTTTTCATGATTATTGGTCTTTAAGCCAAACATGTATGGAAGCTGAGCAATCTCCTTTCATCATTAATTATATTATGAAGTGTCTGGACATATTCAGCAGACAAATAAATTATGCATTTTTAATAATTATCTGTTTAAAAATATACGAGTACCTCATTCATGCGATAATTCCTTGCAGCGTAAAATTATAACAGTCTAGGTGCATTTTCAAAAATGACCACGTATAAAGCGTCTGATGTGATTCCTCACCATGGACACGGCGACGGCTACTAGTCTCTCCAACTCATACGCTATTCTCTCCGCGAGCGCTAAGATTCGTTGCCTATGCTCGTGTGAGGTATAAGCCGAGTCGGTGAAGTCGTGCGTTCGTTCCACGAGCGCCCTCAGGGTGGAAGCAAGTGCTCTTCTCCTTGCTGCGTCCGCGCCGCCTCGCGCCCTAGCGGTCCGCACCTGCGCTGTCAGGCCCCGAAGAGCCCCTAGCGCGGTCCCTGCCTCCCATTGCGCTGCCTGCTTAACATGTCAGGTCAAATATTTACTTAATTAAATCAGCAAAAGCTCTCACAACTTCAGTTTAGTAGGTAAGTACGCACTGATTTGTTAATTGTTAAAAAAGGTTAACTAGTTATTAGTCCGGTGAAGTTAGGCCAGAAAATAGAGCTATCCTTGCATAAATTCCCAAGAAGCTGGCAATTAGATGAAAGTTAGGCAGATATTATTATAATGTAATTAAGAAAAGTGTGCAATAAATTTAAGGTCAAATGATGCAAAATAACGGTTTGTTTCCTTTTTTTTATCTTAATGGTGAGTTTTATCATAAAACAAGAGTGACAAAAAATGTTCATCATGCAAATATCCATAAAAATAAAAAATAAAATTTCACTTTTTTCCACGATCTTTGACGTTGAATATTTTTTTTGTACACTTTGGGATTAATGGGGACTTTTCACAATTTCAATATAATGATATCAGATACGAAGTTCATGAAAATTTTCAGTACCTACTTGGGAATTTTTGCAAGGGTGAATGTCTATTTTGACCGAACTTCTTATATAAACAGAGAGTGAATTGGAAAAGAATAGAAAAAAAACTACTTTTACACTGGTAACATTGATACTTAGAAAGCGACCACATATAGGTACGTGTGTCCTTCAGCATTTTTCATCATTATATCCTTTTAATTTTTTTCTTACTTTACTTTTTAGATTGAACTAAATTCCATAATGTGTAATGCGTGTAGGTAGAATGAACGACTCTTACAATAAGGATGATGACGGGGTAAAGTAAATGAAATTCAATTTAGTTCAGTTAGATTATCGAAAAATAATTCACACTTATTTTTTCTTTTGCCAATGAACCAAAATATGACAATGATAAAGCGCGTCAAGTTTAGGAGTGGGAGCTCGTGACGTCATCTTCACTTTTAAGTAAGAACTGCACCAAGGCGTGAGGTCATGCGACATTTCAAATCAATATAGGTAGATATATTATCTGCAATGTTTTGATAATGGGAAAAAATAAAAAATAAATGTCCATTGCTTTATGATCTACCTAATAGGCGAAGAAAAAAGAGTTAGTCATTATCCCTATTTCCAAATCTCGAATGCCTACGACACATAATAATATGTGTGATAGAAATACTATGTAACGTAATAGGTAATGATAATAATGCTAAAGAATGCTCGCTGATACCGTGGTCACTCCCTATGCGGCCAATAAGCGTAGTTTACCCAATTTTCCAAACGGTGACTATTGATTTTATTTTAACGTGACTACTCTGCATTATTATTACTTAACGATTAACAATAATGATTTGTGAGCTTAGGCTGTGCGGTTCCATCAATTACTCGATGAAATTTAATTTTGATGATTAGTCATTTTAGCGGTAAGCTCAGTTAAACTACAAATCTTAGCAACATTGAGCGTGTTTTCAGCAATATTACGTGAATAAAAAAGTACCCGTAATATTTTCATCTAAGTCAATACTTTTAGCTAAGCTAATAATCAAGTGCTTTATATGAAGTTTTCATAATAATGCTTCTTCATAGCTAATATTCTCTTCGTTACATTTACGATAAAACATGATTCTTAAAAGTAGATCTTAACGCAATTTACTTAATGTATATATTTTCAAGACCACCTTAACGTATGAAGAAGCAAAGCTAAAATAGTTTTTAAACTATGGCATAAGTAATATAAACGTAAGCGACTGATCTAGTATTATACTTATATACATTACGCATACTTTTAAGATAAAAAATTTGGAAGGCACTCGTCTACCTACACTGTTTACTTTGTACCTGTTCATGACTATCCGAGAAAGGTTGCAACTACAAGAAAAGAAAAATCGTGTTTATGCATTGAACAGTATTGAAACAGAGTAGACATTTTTATTTGTAGTAGGAGGTGAAGAGGAATCTATTTAGTGATAGGTTTATATAAGATAGAGTGCTTCTATCTAATAATAATTAAGTTCGGTTTAGTGGAGTAGGTAATACTTACGTGTCTGCCCCTCAGATAATTAAAAGAATGGTAGATACGATAGGTGAAATAATGATAAGGGCTTTGAAGTTTGGTGAATAAAGAAGTTATGTAAGTAAATACAGCAATAAAACATATATGTATATTTTCAGTAACATACATAGAGAAAGTAATAACTTGTACACTACATATTATGACGCACATTAAATGGGTTGGTTTTATTAATATATATAAGATACGGTTTTTTTTATTCGGTGAAGGCTTACCTATAAAGTATAATTTGTCATAACAGTTCTGTCATAACTCAATATAAGTTATTAAAAGATAACCATTTATGTGAAAAAAAAAATATTGGAGGAAGAATACATCTGGAAGTTGCCCATCGCGATAGCGCTATGATCTATATCGTAATACAGTTAGCAGGGTAGCGACATACAACACCATCTTACCGTAGATATCGATAAAATTATGCGTCAAAATTTAATTAATAAGTAATGGAATTGAATTTTATCCCTTAATTTGACTTATGTTTAACATTTGTTTCTAATTGTGCGGTTTTCCGTATACGTACCCCATATTTCACCAACGTTACCAATGTAAGTCGATTTCTTATTAATCCCATGCGTAAGAGAATAAGCACAAATCGTGTTGTTAAATACTTTGTTGATTAGGTTTATATTTTACCTAGTCACTAAATATTAAAGGGAAAATATCGATGTGCAATTTTCATAGGCATCTCTAACGTGTGGGTTCTTACGTTGTCTCGGAAACCTCTCAGCGTCGTGTCGCAGCCCGGTTATAACCGGCATAGCTATAAGTACTATATTGCGCCTCTTTAACTTCCTTGTCTGCGAAACGTGTATGATAATTACAAAATCGTGTAACTTTTGTAAGTGAGGTGGGACCTTTGTTACCGCCTGTTTCCGAAAGGGGTGTACTGTTGTTTTTCTTATCAGGAGTTCCTTTTCTTTTAACAGTTCCTGCCTAGATGCTTTAACATTTTTCATAAAAATAAGTTGATTCACATAGCATTTAAGTAGTGCCAGGGTTTTATGTGAATATACGCTAGAAGTACACCCGGCGATCGTTTCGTTCTAAAGCCATATTGACGATCTTCCATCAGAGAGTGATCCGCCAGGTAGCTGGTCAAATCATGCATCATTTGTAGCTAACAATAAGCATATTTTACACCCGAAACTTCTGAATGCATGTAAAGAATTAATAAAACAGTATGTATCAACTTACTCAACTTATTCTTTGCAGCGATTAGGTATAAAATCAAATATCCATCAGTATTAAAATAAGTTCTTTAAATTATGTACTTTTTCACTCTACTAATTAAGTTACCGAAAGACAACTATTATAATAAATATGTCGCAGGAAATTTGTATGACTCCGCATTCTACAAACGGCGTCGCTCGTTTAAAAACGCTCGCTGTTTTAAAATATGGCGAATGCAAAGTGTGAATTGTCTTGTCACTTTATAATATGCCACAATATTTGATAGAGAATCCAATCGGCGTTTACAAAATGCCGCGGCAAATTGAAGTATTTAGTTCTTTTTCTTACCACGCGTAGCGTATTATGAAAATTTTATAGGGACAGTGGACATGGTGTTCGAGACAAAATTCAGTACCTACCAAATTATAGAGCGATTTAATATTGTTTTTTTACTTAACTAGTTTAGGAGTGCCCAACTAAGCATGTATTTTAAGTAAGTCCAAATTGAATAGGTAACTACCTGATATATATTATGTTTTTATATCTCAGTCTTGTTTAAGAGAATACAGTCATGTAAAACTAATAAAAAGGTAGAATGAATCCGGTTTTTGTTGGACACGAACCTAGCTGCAGGGCACATCATCAAAATCGTAATTTATGAAATTGACTTATTTACCCAAATTCCAGTAAGCTCCCGTAGCATTGTTCCAATTGTTTCGCGCCTTGCTCAATTTACATATGTCCTCTGTATAGTGCGGCTTTAGAGACAAACATACCGGTAACCAGCATAGATTGCGGATTCTGACAGTACAATAGAATTCAATTGATGTCTCGATATTGATATGCCCTACATGTGGTATGATTGCTTTCAACGACCCTTATTGTATTGACTAAACTAAAGTTTTTAGCTTAGGAAATAACATAACAGGCCTCACACATTTCTTTTTAGACTTGGTAAGACATTGAGCTTGAATAATAATAAATTATACTTCAATGTTACATCCGCAAGATTTAATATAACCATGTGGTTGTTCGTCAGCATAGTGCATCATCACACCTGTTTAGAGACATAAAATTAAACTAGTAGTTACTGTCATTGTCAATATTCCCGCTCCCTAAAATCATTCGTTCTTGGTGTGCAGCATCATCCACTTTCGTGTTTACATTGTTCTATAATTGTGTCAATTGTGTTTGTGAAAAGTTATTTACTGTGCAAAGTGGGTAATAGAAGCGAGAGTTTAATGAAGAAAAAATAATCTCAAAAATAAGACGTTTGGAATAGAAATTGCAATCAAAGAAAGGTTAAGTCCTACGCTTTAAGTACTTACCTGTTTGAATCAGTTTGTAAAAATTATCATGTATGCATTTTCCCTTAGGCTTTCTATCTCAGTATATGTTTTTCAACATAAACCAATTATTACGCCCAACCAATTATATTTCCTTACCGCATTGTAATTATCTAACAACAATGACGTATAATGTGGCGGCGCTTACTTCGTTCTTTGAAGTGGTGATTCCTGAACTTTCCTAGAACAAAAGACGTATACCTTCTTGACGTGGAAGTACTAGATGTTGTCCTGAAGGTATAAATAATGCCCTTAACCAATTATTACGCCTCATATTTCCTTGGCGTATTGTAATTAGCTAACAACAATGATGTATAAAGAGGCGGCGCTTACTTCGTTCTTTGAATTGGTGGTTCTTGAAGTCATCCTAGTACGAAAGACGAAAACTTTCTTAACGTGGCCGTACCAGATGCTGTCCTGAAGGTATAAATAATGCCTTTGTTGCCTCTTTCATAATTTATA